TTTTATTTGTTATGTGGGTCTTGCACATTTCAATTCGGTGAAAATATTATCGTTTTCCACCTTTTGATCCTTATTTAATTTAAAGGTTGTTTTCATAATGTTGCAGATTTTTTAGACATGAAAACAGATGTACGACGGTCAAAATTCCTTCTGTGCAGTAAGGTCGTGGATATCGCCTTCAAGGATGGCATCGCTATACGCAGCGCCAGCAGTAGCCATAGTAGCAGTAATAACAGCAGCAGTAGGAGTAGTCGTAGCAGCAGGAGTAGTAGAAGTAGTAGTAGTAGTAGTAGTCGTAGTGGAAGTGGTAGTGGTAGTAGTAGTACTAGTAATACCTGTCGTAGTAGAAGTACTAGTGATACCAATAGTACTACTAATATTAGTAGTGCTAGTAATACTAGTAGTAGCAATAGTAGTGTTAATGGCAATAGGAGCAGTGGCAGTGGCAATGGCAATCGCAATGGCGACAACAACAATAATAGGAGGAGGAGGAGGAGCAACACTAGCAATAGTAGTCGTGGTCGTGGTCGTGGTCGCGGTCCTAGTGCTAGTGGTGGTGGCGGTGGTGGTAGTGGTGGTAGTAGTAGTAGTAGTAGCAATAGTAATAATCGCGTTGGTGGTGGTAGTAGTAGTAACAACAATAATCAGGGCGCCGGCCACGAAGCCCGTGCCCTGCCCGGAGGGCCTTCGGTGGTAACCGAAGGTTGTAGACGTTCCCCCCCCTGCCGCCGACCCTCGTCACCAAAACGGGGGGACGACCGGCTCACTGATATCAACGTAATTTACAATCTTTCGTGTGTGTGTGTGAGGTATAAAAAACACTGTGTTTTACAGGGTTTATTGCGCATTTCGAAGTACGACGCGGGGAAAAGGGAAAAATGCAAAAATGCTGTGTTTTTTTCAAGGATGGTGTCGGTAATGCGGGCCGGGCGGACAGGCTTAATCGACATTTTGTGGGTAGAGGCCCTCCAGACGACTTACATTTCCTAACATATCCTCAACATAGGCCCAAGATAGCCAACATATCCCCAACATATGCCCAACATAGCCTCCAAGATGACTCAACATAGGGCCAACATAGGCCAGCATGGGGCCAACATAGGCCCAACATAGGCCTAACCTCGGCCAACATAGGCCCAACATAGGCTCAACATAGGCTCAATATGGGCCCAAGATGTACCCAACATAGATCACATGGGCCCAACTTGTCCCAACCTAGGGCGAAGATGCTCACCAGAGAGCGTAACTTTGCTCAAAATGGGCCCCACCAAGGCCAACATAGGCGTGATATACGCCCCACCGAGACCAACCGTGGGCCCAACCTCGGCTTCTTGCCTCACCTCTCCCCAACATATGTATTAAGAGGGAGGGCCACTATAGGTGCAACGTGGGGCAACATAGGCCTACCTAGGTTGCACATTGGCTCCATCTAGATTCCACCTAGCCCAACTTCTTCCCAACCTATTCCTAACATATGCACCATGCGGCTTCATTATGGCCCAACGTAGGGTGAACATGGTCCAAGGCCAACATAGGCCAACGTGGGGCCAACATACGCCAACATAGGCCCAACATAGGCCCAACCTAGGCCAACATAGGCCTAACATAGGCCAACATAGGCCCAACATAGGCTCGACATGTGTGCCCAACATAGACCACATGGGCCCAATTTGGCCCAACCTAGGGCCAACATGCGCATCACATAGCTTAACTTTGCTCAATATAGGCCCCACCAAGGCCAACATAGGCGTGACATATGCCCCACAGACCCAAGTGGGCCGGCGCCCGGCTGTTAGGCGTAAGCCTTGAAATAATAAATTGTAGCAATAATCTTCGCATATCGTTTGGGTATTGCTAGGGCGTCGCCGAGCAGCTAGATAATTGGGAGAAATTAAGGATATTATCTATCTTCCCAATTGTCTATTTCATCCAATACGATCCCATCCAATTTGATCTAACCCATACTAGGTATTTATCGATCCTTGGGTAAGGAAACCGGTTGTGATTCAATCATTGATGATGATATAGCCATGGTATCCCCTCTTCCAGGATGATATCGGTATTAATATATTTTTGATGGATTATAATACCACAAGGCGGCTATCCCATTATATTCATATATTTTAATCCTTGCATAAATAGATTTCCAATATATCTTAAATTTATGTAGAAGATATATTTCAAATATAAATAGGACATTGCACCAACAATATTAAAAAGACCTGATATATTATATATATCAAAACCCAAATTCAATCAAAATAATAATATTTCAACAAATATAATCCCAATATAAAAAAAATATTGCACAAAAAAAGCAATATCAACCACCCTATCAATTATTCCTATCCAAAAAATAATCGCAAGAACCGCCTCTCAGTATAAATATTCTCAACAAAAATCCGTTCAATGTAAAATCACCTCACCTTCATGATTTTATTTATTTAAATATATGTTTAAAAATAGATTAAAATTAATGATTTATTAATTTAATAAATAAAATAAATATAATGTAAAACATATATTTATTATAATTAAACATTAAAAATAATATATTAATTATAAATTAATACAAATAAATCAAACAAAATTATTAATAAAATACAATCTAATCATATATAATTTATATATTTAATATTAATATTTAATAAATATATATATATAAAATAAATATAAATATTAAAAATTAATAAATATAAATATATTTATATAAATAATTTAATATATTTATTAAAAAATTTAATATATTTATTAGATAATTTAATATAATTATTAAATTATCTTTTAAATAAAAGATTCGATATTATAAATATATAATATATATTCTATTTATAATTTAAAAACAACAATCAATTATTAAAATAATCTATTTAAAATTAATAGAAAATTAATTTATATAATTATATTATAATTAGCAAATTTCGTTTTTGCTTAATATAGGTGCTTAAAATCGTTGTCGATTTCGATTTTAACGATAAAATTATCCGAAATATACTTATATTTAAATGACAAAATCTAAATAAGAACCAACCGATAACGTAAATATAAATGAATTTGTATTGGTCTACCCACCCTGCGGTTTGTCGTTTCTCTTGGTATTGCTGATGTTGTGGAGAAAGTAATTTGATGTTGAGGGTATCGTCTTTCTCTTCTGAGCACGTGTCCGAGTAATTTGAGTTTCCTTTCTTCAAGTTTCTCTGTCATGGGTTTTACTTTCCTGAATGGCCCTGCAGTTGGCGCATTGAGCGCTTCATTGGCTGTGCTGCCAATATTTTCACGTTGGACGTAGGTAGTTCGCAAATTGAGGATTTTTCCAAGCCCTTTGAGTTGGAATGTGTTGAGAAGCTGCGCCGCCCCCTGCATGGGTTCGAAAGTTTCCAAACCATATAAAAGTGTGCTGGTAATACATGCATCATACAAAATTCCCGGAATATGTTTAATAAGTTGTTGCTTTTTAGTGTCCTAAATAGGGATTTATTTCCTGAAGACTTGAATTGACTATAATTCAATTTCTTCGGGATATATTCATCTTGGATCCCCCTGAATGTCAATCTTCGATAGACATTCATTGCCCATGATCCGCCAGGTACCTAGCCTTTCGTCCTGCGCACACTGAACGATATGGGCATACTATCTGATTTGCACGGCAAGCTGTTGGAAATCCAGAATTTTCCCGCAACAGGATCTCCTGGCAGATCAGACCCCGCAGGCTTTCGAGCAGGAAACACACCAGTCAAGATCTCGGGTCGAATCTCAGTGCCCAAATTGAGAAACAAACATGTCTCATGTGTGGGCCTGGGTGTTGCTTTCAATTGAGTTGAGGATCACATTGGATGAGTCCAAAACACAACAAAATACGCTAAACAGATCGGCACTGAAGGCACTGATACTGCTGGAGTGCTAATTATAAAACATGAATCCCAACGCGAATGCTTTCAACAATGGAGGTTTACCTAGAAAGGCCAGCAGTAATGTTGGATCACGATTAGTAAAGGGTACCTCTATAATGCTAAATTTTTCCAAAATTATTCAGACCCCCCTGTTTGAAAAATGGTACCTCTATAATGCTAAAAAAAATTTGGGCCCTAAATTTTTATATTGGAAACCCAATATATCAGGGATTGAATTCGTGATGATTATGATTCATTAGCTGATATAGCTTTCTCTAGGCTTCTTCAA